AGCAGAGCAGAGGGAGAGTCACCATGGATAACGCTAGTTAATCATGGATGACACAATGCGTTTCTGCACGCAACCATCTGATGTTCTTTTTGTGACTACGCCCCTCAGAGCCTGTTGGAATCAATAAAACTGAGCTGATGAATTCCCTTGTTTCCCCAAGAGCCCACACTGCTCTAGAAAGGCCTGGCTTTGAAGGTAATGGTGGGAAGTGTTACACTGGTCACCTCAGCCTGCCTCAAAGACCTGATGGATATTCCTCTCCCCTGGGATACCTACTTACAGAAAACATCACATTTGAAGGACAAATGTGTGAGCCAGCTCACCTGAAGACTATTCCCAACACATCCCTGCCAAGCTTCCTGGCCTGTGTTGTGTTTCAAAAATAAACAAACAAACCAACCACTTCAGAAACCTTTGCTGAGCAGCACTGAACCAGGGTAAGTGATCCAGTACCTTCTATTTCCCCAACCTGCCAAAAGCCCAACTAGAGGGATAAACCCAGTGCTGTTCTCCTGAGCCACTAGTGTTGCACCAGCTTAGCTTCACAGGGACCCGAGCCTTCTGCAAGTGGCAGAGATATATTTCCTCTGCAAATGCTTGTTTTGCAACAGTTTATGCTTCTGCTGCCAGACATTATTTTTTACCCTCAGAATTAATGATTAACAATTAAATTATTTGACAGGGGAATAGAGGCCCAGTGCTAATTAAAATTCCCTCATCTCTCCTCTTTGCAAAGAAAAAAAATTGATATTTCTCAGTATCAGCATTCAACCAGAACAGGGCAGTTTGTGATGTTGACTTAATTAGATGGACAGCCATGGGCACAGCCAAAAAAAACATGAAAATGTCGCACAAGGACCATACAAATGGTGAGGGAGAGAGAAGGGGGAGAGGAGAAGGAAGAAACAGCCAACTGGGGAGCTGGGAACCAAGTAAAAGAACATGTCCAGATTGCAGAAAAGCCACTTTCTATACCAAATAACATTTTATAAGAATATATCATCTGTTTAGCTGAAACAAAATAACTCAGACAGAGCAAACAGTGCCTGTATAGGCTGGGAGAAACCAGTAATAGGTGTCCTGCAAAGCTTGACTGCTCCATTTTAAGGAATGCATTTCTTCGGTATCCTGAGCAGCTGGGCTGTTCATCTACACCAGTTTTCGCCTTCACCTGCTTGCTGGTGGGCTAGACCTCCTAGGGGCTTCGTGGTGTCTGCTTACATGCCAGCGTTAATATCAAAAGATTATGCTAGTTCATCATCCTTCTGAAGAGATCCTTTCCATTGTTGTTGCTGTTGATTGCCTGATAGCGCTTTCTCAGCCAGATCCACTAGGGATTACACCAGCATAAATAAGATAAGCCGCTGTCTGGTTGCTATTAAAATGCATCAAGATGCTCTTGGCTCAGACAACACTCTTGCACCAATGCAAACTACATCCTTGGTGTTTTTGTTACATGTTTTGCCTCTTTTTGTCTATTTGGAGAATAGATTTTTCTCTCTGAACACCACAATAACCCACCCTAAATTTCCAATTCTCTTCTATCATCAATAATTTTCAAATCACTTGGCAATTTCCCTCTCCCTGTCTCTGCTGGGCCAGGAGGTGAACAGTGCTATGAGACTTTCAAGGGTGCTTCTGTAAGAACTAAGGGATGGAGAAAATCTCAGAAAGCTCCCAAGGCAGTACGCAGCACTGGCCAAGACAGACCTGGAAGAAAACAAAAGCTGATAGCTTTTTTGGGTGCTGTCTGAGCTAAACTGCCATAGCAAAGCTCAATTGTCACAACCAGAGTGAACACTTCAGGGTTGTGTTAGATGCAGTCCATCCCTCTAAAGCACAGTGGGGTGGGCCAGCCTCTCTGCAGCAGCAAACAGCACTGGGAGCTATTACTTCTGAGCTAGAGAGTAGACACATCTGCCTGCTGCTGGAAAGGCTTTCCTGTTCTCTCACCCCCTGCTTTCTTGCTTTTTCTTGTTAAATCTAGGGGGGAGTTGTTACCAGCTAGTTTTAGGAAAACGTTTAGTAACCAAATAGAAACTGGAAGAAACTTGGAACTCATCATTCCTAGGTAACAACACCAGGGTAACAACATGCAGCAGCCAAACAGAGCTTCTAAAACACACACCAGGAGGCACAAAACCATGTTTGACAGTTTCAGCACAACCCCAAAGGTGCTTACAGAAACTGCTTATAGGGATGGGCACGAAGCTGCAAAAAGCAGTGGGGCTGTGAGAGGGCAGTCCTCTCCCAGATGCTTGTGGGAATTATTTGTCTTAGATATATCCTTCCATGCAGGAACTGAGCCCATGAAATTCATTTACCTGCAGCTTTGAAGCAGAAAGAATCAGAAAATGGCACCCAAGAAACACCAGCAGACTCACTCATTGGAAGTGGAGTGAACATACTCAGCATGGGCTTTCACCCTGAATTTACAGGAAAGCTGAACATGGATTTCTGTGCTTTTTCACCTCATTTTTTAAAATGATTGCCAGGTGAACTGCAGTTTTTAATTATTTTTTTGCACTTAAAGCTTATTAGATTTGTATTGCCTCCCCCCTACCCCCCACTTTCCACTTCCGTATACTTCCTCCAGTCTACAGTTAATGAGAAGAAATCAGTGTATTGCACTACCTGGCATCTTGCTGCTGAAGTGGCAGGAGACTTTGGTTACCAAGTCATTTGCTGCTTAATTGAAATCTTTTCTCTAGACTCATTGCTATGCAGACACTCTATTGGAATGCAGTAGTCAGGCCCAATATCGATTGTCCTCCCACTCCCAGCTTTCCTCCTCTGAGTTTGCAAGTCAATTGCACCCTTCTAAAAAAAATTAACAAACATCACCCATTCCACAACCCTATTTTCCCCTGAAACACACTGATTTGGCTTTGCATAGTTTCTTAGAGCAGAGATGGGCACAAAACAAGAAATGTTAGGTGGCTAAAGTAAAAGCTAGATCTGCACCTTGTCAGATCATCTCCAAGAATGTGTGCATCAGCCAGTTCAGATAAGGTCCTGTCTAGGAGTGGATTGTGAAGATATAAGGGGTAAATTAAATCCTAGTTTTAAATTCCCGATAATTTCCAGTGAGAGTCTATCTCCCATCTTTATTGCAGAAATTAAACAATTTAACAGTTAAAAATCAACAGTCAGGGAACCCTAATACAGTTGCAGCTTGCAGAAGAAGCCAGACTCCAGTTGCAAGTTTGCAGGACTGAAAACCAAGGCTAGGCAAGCCATCACTTGCTAACACTAGAAAAGAGAGTCAGTGCAATACAGGTTATTACAGACTCCTGACTTTGAAATCATGGCACCCAAGTCCTTTTGAATCCCATCCATTTTTAAAGTCCCCGGGGAACTCTGTGGTTCAAAACGCTCTTGTCAAGGCCTTGTCTAGACAACAGTTGTGTCTTTGGAGTCTCGGCTCAAACTTGCATAGTATGAACAGGTCTTTGAGGGCAGGGTCACATTAATGCTATGCATAACAACCGTCCCTAAATTCTTCCTGATAGATCTTGTGTCAGTACTTAGCACTACTCTTCCGAAAGACAGCACATTTGACTACTGCAGACTCTTTTGAAACAAGAAATGCAGAACTTGCCAAGGTGAGGTCCTCATACTCTAAGAGGACTCCATGGTGTCATTTGTGAGGACATACGTAGCTAAATATCGTGTGCCTGTTGCAAACATGCTTAGGCCTCTCAGCTGCTCTGCCGTAGTGGCTTCTCACAGTTCCCACACAGCCCTTGTACTTTAAAAAAAGAAATCAGGAGTTTTGCAAAGGGTGAAGCAGTGAACCTTACTTCTTCCTGAGCAGCTCTCTTTGGCTTATTACACATTTGCATTGCAATACTGCCTGTAGACTTCAACCAGCATCAGGCATCTGAACCCATGGGCTGAGACAGCTCTTGCCCTAAACACATTGTCACCCATGGGGTTTTTTGCTGATCTAGGCAATTTTACACCACACTTTCAGCCTGGGAACAGATCTGTGTTCGAGGAGAAGCCATATAACCGTAGGGAAGGAACTGAATAGTGTCTATTCCTGCCTTGGAAATCAAACCTTCCTGCAAAGTTGAGAATGAGCACCTAGTACCAGGGGTCACTTGTTCCTGTGTAGATGGCAACAACAGACTTCCTCAGCCCAAATCATCACCCTACAGATCTTGTGGACTCCCATAGAGTCAGAAGGCACATTGCCAGCCTTAGATTTTCACCTTCTACAGATACATAAGTAATTTCACTTTCCGCACCAGAGGCCATACAGGTCCCAGAAAGATTTCCTTTCCTTTCGTCCTCAACCCAACATGAGTATCATTTCAGGATCACACTCCATACACCTCCCAGTCCAGAGACCGTGTTGCTGTATTGAACTCAGACCCCTGCATTGCAGGTACCAATAGCAAATGCTGGACTGACCAGCAAGCAGGAAGCAAAAATACATCTATCCCCTACAGTCCCAAAGGTTCTGCAGGAGCTATAAAATCACGACACTCATTTAAGCCTCAGATTCCAGATTGCTCTGATCCTACCTGCCTTTTGGAAAATTAGACTGTCAGAGTACCAAATATGCTCCTTGCTATTTTCCATGTAGTTAAGCAGTAATTGCTGCCCAACACTAATCTCAGAGTGTATTTTTCCTGTGGAGCTCAGTGCCAGAGTTCACATTTGTAATTTAGTGGCATGCCAAGGAGCTATACCTAAACTCACAAAAGGATTTTCTCCACTCATCATCTCTCTTCTACTTTGGTGGCAGCTGGGATTCTGTATTCAGAGATGTTTGGGCTGGGCAAACAAATTAGCAGAGACCAGCCTCATTAGGAATTCACACGGGTTCCCATCCTGCTTCATAGCAGG